TTCCTGGCTCTGTGTCCTCCCAACCTCTTGCCCACCTCCAGCCCACTCACTGGTGGGACAGCAGAAGCAAAGGCGGCCTTGATGCGGTGCAAGCACTGTGCGGCTGTAAAGGTCTGGACAGTATGAGGTTAAAATGTCTCAAACAGTTATGGGAAAAGACACTAAACAGAAGCAGGATGTTGCCAATGGGGGAAGGTGGAGATAAGTTATCTAAACAAAAGACCTTGAGAAGCATCAAAGTGGGACAAGTGATAAGGATGGGCATGGAAGGGAAGAAGGGGCTCAGGGAGTTGGGACAGCCTTCTCCAGTGGCCTCAAGTTACGTTTTGCTTCACTAAATAGATGCATATTACAAGTGACAGCCATGCAAGTAAGAATTACCAAGTACATGCGTTGCATGCAGAGGTATTGTTGGGGTCCATGCGAGGAAACGGACTACAGCACACCAATACGATGCTCTGATAGCCAATTTATTACATACAAAGCACGACTTTTATACATTTCCAGCATTCTATGCATGCGTCTATCTGATTCCTAATTGGCTGCACACGCTACCCACCCCGGCTAAGCTAATATATGATTGGTTAAAATTTCTCTGTCTCCAGTCCATTTTGCTGTGTTTGGTGCCTTCTTTATCTTCTTTACTTCACTGCCAAGTTTCTGTTTTCAAGCGCTCAAGGTCACTTCCATATCACAGCTGCATGCCTCCCGTCACGTAGCCCTGGGCCTCTACAAGGTATGTTGGTGTTTTGGGCGTACCGTTCCTGCATCGTTGATTGACAAGGCAATACCTAGGCTAGCTGGCCAATCACACATGCACAAGAGAGACTATAAAAAGCAAACTCCTTACTCAACTTTTGTTCAACACACCAGCCATGGATCAGAAACTGCCTCTTGACAGCAGCGCTAGATCCCAGGGGTGGTGATATCTTTTGTTTCTCTCTATTCCCTTCTCTTTTTCTCTTCTTACTCTTTTTCTCATCATCTCTCCTTCTCACATACATAAAAGCCTTTATACAAACCAGTTGTTATAAGGCTGTTCTCATTGCCAAAGTGCCTTTTATTCGCCAGTTGTCTTTCGCTCACTTATTGACAGTTATCCAGTATTTTGTTGCCAGATTCTCCCTGTTTACCCCCTAAAGTTGCCAGTTTATAAAGTTACTGGTACAACTGTTCCTCTGAGTCCTTATGACTCTTCCGCCCCGCCTCCCGGTGCAGGGATCGGTTTGTTACCCGGTGTTTTGTGGGCTTGTGTTTTTGAGGTGGGATTTGGAGTGAATATTCCTAGAGAAAAGGACTATCAGTTTGCTACAGAGTGAGTTTGCACATGAACCTCCCCTGGGGGTCTGGCAAGTGGAAGAATCTCAGCTGTAGTACAAAGGTGGGCATCTATTTGTTATTTGTTTCTAATATGCTGGAAAGTGTTTGAAAAACTAATATACACAGCCTGCCTCTAGCATGGGGCAAGAGTTGAATTACTGAAGTGCTTTGGATTACATTGATTGCCAGCTGATTAACTTAAATCAGAATGGTAAATACTATCGTGTGTCTATAAGGAGGAAGAAGAACCAGTTGTATCTCCTGTGTACTAAGGCTTTGTATGACTGAGGTCCATATGTTTTAGTTATTGCGCTTTTAAATTATATTGAGATCAGTACATGTTGGCTTATTTGTTGGGAAGGCTTTAGATGGCCACCTGTAAACTGTGGTGGGTCTAAAACACCTTTCTTTAGAAGGCGAGGGAGGTAACTGCAGGAAGGATGATACTATGGATGTAGACAAACAAGTAAACTCTCTCTTTAGCATTGACCTCACAGCAGATGCCACTACTAGCAATGCCGATGTTGGTAGCGCAGACTCAAAGCAACAAGAAGATGACAGCAGCTTCTCACTCATCACCTGGAACGTTGATGGGCTGGATGCAGGAAATCTAAAAGAACGAGCAATAGGAATCTGTTCTTACCTGGCATTGTAAGTACAGCTTCATCTTTTTATTTCACGTGTACCCAGCTTTAAAGGGGAAAGCAAGCTTCTTGTTTTAGATATTTACAAATCTTCATGCCCAAATTATCTTAATGTTAGTTGCAACAGTGCAATCACTTTATAAATCCTAAATAGTTGAAGAAAAGTTGGAAGAGATATGAATGTATGCAGCACGTCAAAGGTTAAATATTTTGTGATGGTTACTTTAAAAAGCTTTTTTTATAATGAACAATGTTCTTCAAGTTGCAGCCATACATCAAGAGCATACTTCATGCTTCCATCTTGTACATGATAAGGGTAAAACTGCAAGAAACATTTTTTGTCTCATTCTAGTAGTATAAGTAACTTAGCACTAGAGCAAACTGATTGAAACAACAAAAAAGATTTTTTTTTTAGTGAAATGTGAAAAATGTCTCTCTTGCCATTACTGTTACTTGTGTATCAAAAAAAGAAAATGTGCAAGGTAAGGTAAAAGCAACAGTATTTGTGATTACCTTTCATGGTTCCACCAGTGGAAGCCTCCCACGAATACATATTTAGGAGCAGTTTAACAATTACATTAATGGATTTATTTTAGTACAATACCTTATCATTATGAAATAAATTATTTAAACAAGTGATAATTTAGGTTCCTCTTAAAACTGCAGAAACCCCTTACCTAAAGCAATTTTCACTTGATTATGTTAGTCTAGGGTGGAGTATTTTTCTTCTATAAATAAGGCCTTAGGTTTGTCCTTCATGTGCTTATTGCAGGGCTCTTAATCAGTGTAGCAAAAATAGGGACAGCTGTGAAGTCCTGTCTACATCAGCATTTTCTGGACTGCTGTCTCACATGAGCTGTTACTGACTGCACAGCTCTAAGAAATAAAAGAGCTTGGCATTGATGAAACTAGAGAAAATGAATGGCAGTGTTACCTGAAGGGATGTGTTATAAGGAATGAGGTGGTGGTTGGAATCTTCTGGAGAACTTAGGTGTTGCAGAACATGTTCCACAGCTGCTTTGCAGCTGCTGAAGTTGGATTCCTCATGTATATAGTATATGAAACCTGTGCAAATGTTTATAAGATCAAGGTGTAAGGAAGTCATGCTTTTATTACTATGTCAGTTCCATGTTCACAATAATAATTGTTTCCTTCCTTTTAACAATGGTCATGCATCTGTGTGCTACTAAATATGATGGAGAGAATTTTTTTTTATTAAAAGAAAAAAATAGATTCTTACAATATCTAGGAAGACAAGAACAAGGTGCACCTGAAATCCCTCACCCTGTTCCATTTGGCCTCAGAGTGTAACAGTGCTACCTCTCAAGAGTTAATTTAAAATCTTGTCTTGCCGATTTCAGATACAGTCCAGACGTTGTGTTTTTACAGGAGGTCATCCCACCACATCTCTGTATTCTACAGATGAAAGCAAGCAGTTACACTATTATTCCAGGTAAGAAATTACCCTCAGTTTATAAAGACAGAAACCAGACAAAGTAAGTTCTGTTTTATTCTGTCTCCCTGCCCAAATCTCTAACCATTTGTAGGAATGAAAATAGTAAAGTGAAGAAGGAAGCACTTAAATTACTTTCTGCATTTTGATATCAGGATATAGTTTGATGCATGTGAAAAGCTTGCTTGCCTGGTGGTTTCCTCTCTATTTTTTTCTGCATTTCGAAGGACTGATAGCAAGGGTAGCAAAAAAGTGCCATAGATAAGTAATTTTTTAAATACTTGCATTTAAAAAATGTGAAAAATACATACCACTATTAGGAAACTTGTAAGATGTACAAAGTCATTAGTTAACAATAAATGTGATTCTCCCAGGTCATGGTAAAAAGGTCTCTTTCAGAACCTTAACTTCCTTATGGCATGGCCTTGACTATTTTTTTCCCTGTTCCTCTTTAGGCAACATAGATGGTTATTTCACTGTCATAATGTTGAAGAAACCAAGAGTGAAGCTACTAAAACATGAAATAATACCCTTTCCAACAACCTCCATGATGAGGAACCTTTTGGTTGTGCATGTGAGTAAGTCAGTATGTACTAACAGCTTTGTTTCTGCCTTCAAAACAAGAAATCCCAGGAAAGGCTGAACTGGCTTTTCTCTGTGATAGTCTCACACAGCAGGAAAACTTCTCCAAACATACAAACCCAGCTACATTTGATACTAATGAACTTATGTCTTTTATGTAATTTACTGGCCATACTTCATTTTCAAGTCTCATAACCTCTGAAAACAAAACTCAAAGCTTGTAAGCCACTTCAATATAAAACTAATATTAACCAGAGCTCTGTTGTTTGGTAATTGACTTTGTCATTAGATTTTATCTTTGAACATATTTGATCATGGTGTGGACAATAACACTGGCTCTTTGTTTCATGCGCAGGTGAGCATATCTGGTAATGAACTTTGCCTTATGACCTCTCATCTGGAGAGCACTAAAGATCACTCCAAGGAACGTGTGAAGCAGCTGCAGACAGTGTTAAACAAAATGCAGAAGGAGTCTGAGTCTACCACTGTTATATTTGGAGGGGACACAAACCTCAGAGACAGTGAGGTAAATAGAAATAAGCAACCCTGATATTTTGAGAAGCTATTCTGACAATATCTTCTTGGGCTTTTCTGTTGTCTTAATGAGAAATGACCTGCTTAGGCAGAACAGAGATAGGCAACATTTACTCTTAAAAAGAGGAGGTGTGACCAAGTAGAAGCTGTGGCATTGCTGTGCTGAGGCACTGTTGTAGCTGAGGTGATGTATATGAAAAGTTCCTTCCCCCAGTAACAAGATGCTTTATTTGCCATATTTATATTTGAGAAGTTGCAAGGATAGCTGATGAAATTTGTACTTTAATAGCTTGTTCTTATTTCGAGAACCTGATCTTTACTTGCTCAACTCTCCCATTCTTAGAGAGTTAGTACTTGTTAAATCAATGAAAGAAGAGAGTGCTCTGGAGAAACAGATCTTGGAAGTTTAAAATTAATCCCCCATGATGGAGACATTCAAAATTAGGAGTAGTTTTTGGCTGCTGATATTAAAAGTGAAATTTGTGCATTATTACTTAAAGGTCAGTATTTCATCTTTCACTGCAGTGAAAATTCCATTGCAGTGAATTAGGATAACATTGTTTCAGAGAATATGGTGTTGACCCTATACCTCAAAATTTCAGAGCCAAACGTTTATTTATTTACGTTTTTATGTATTTATTTATATTTATTTATATTTTACTTATTAACATGTTTTGGATTTAGAAAGTACTGCAGGAATTGGTCATGCTTTAGTGTCTTCTGAGAAATACCACAAATGAGAAACACCTCCAGTATCTTTGTTTTTAACAACTTATGTTTTGCAAAAAAATAAGCAATATTGTGACAACTCAGTTCTGTTTTTGAAGGTAAAATTTATGAATTCAGTATCTTGTGGATTTTTCCCCCTGCTTCTACCTTCAGGTTACTAAACTAGGTAACTTACCTAACAACATCACGGATATCTGGGAGTTTCTGGGTAAACCTAAACACTGCCGCTATACTTGGGACACTCACTCCAACACCAACCTGCGTGCACTGTACAAGTGCAGGATGAGGTTTGACCGCGTTTACTTTCGGCCTGCAGCAGATGGGGGACATATTATTCCACGAAGTATGGACTTAATCGGATTGGAAAAATTGGACTGTGGCAGATTCCCTAGTGATCACTGGGGTGTTCTGTGTAATTTTGATGTTATATTATAAAAAAGGAAAAAAAAGCTTGATTTGTTCTTGTTTTTAAAAATGTTTACCCTCTCAGTTTAAGTAGGGCATATTAAAATTGTCAGGCCTAATGCATTCTCTGCTCTTGACTTCTGCTGGAATGGCTTCAAAGAGTTCCCTTTTCCTCATCATATGCATCTGTTCTTGAATTGCGTTTTAAATATTTATTTTTAACAATATATGCAAATAAAATACAAATTCTAGTTTTAAAATGGGAGGGAAAACCTGTAAATACTATTCATAAATGTACTTGGTGGTTTAAGAAACAATTTTTATTTTGGCGTGTATTATAATCTTGTAATAAATGCTGCTTTTTATTTTAAGAATACTTTTGTTGTGCCTGCTTTGTTTCTTTTGTAACCATTTCCATCATCCTTTACAACCCTGTGTTTTGTAGGATCTTTTGCATTAGCTTCTGGAGTTTGTGTGGTATGTATGTACCCCTTCAGGCAAGACAGTAAAGAAGCTGAGGAGAGAAGACTAGATTCTCACAGCATAAAGGTAGATTAAGCAAGAATTAAACTTACACTGAGCAGATTTAAGAATGATATGCCTTCTATTTGACAAGAAGAGGATGTAGGCAGATGCATGGAAGTTGTTCACTTGTGTATACCTTACTTTCTGTTTATGAACCTGGATGTGAGTTGCAGATTATAACATGTTGTTTCTAGTGAGCTTCTGGAAACTATGCTCTTATAAACTGCTGTGCAAAGCCTGAACAGCTCGAGGTCTCACTGACTTTGCAAAAGATCAAACAGGTTTTCTAACTCAAAAAACTGTGTTTAAAAAAAAAAATCTAATTACAAAATCATTCTCATAGAAGCTGTCTTTTTATCAATGTGCAAAGTAGTGAGCTGATTAAAATGGTAAGTCTCCTAGCTTTCTGAAGTGAAGTTCAGTGCACAGGCATGGAGAGGAAGCACAGATAACCCACATCAATGATGCAAAGTGAATACAGAGACTTATAGCCTGAATTCCCTTACTTCTTTTTGTGGTTGTTTGTCTTTGGTCTTAAGCCCAAAGCTTACAAACAGCTTGTGTTTTGCAGGACTTCTGTGGTGGGTTAGCCCTGGCTGGTAGCCAAGCTCCTACCCAGCCACTCACTTAGTCCTCCCTTTCCAAACAAGTTGGGAGGAAGAAATGGGAAAAACCTAAACAAGAAAGCTCATGGGTGGAGATAGTGCAGTGACACCCCTTACCTGCTGTGCAAGTAAAACTCCACTAGCACTATTATTGCTTACCCTAACATGTCTGCCTGCATGCTCCAACCAGCCAAGCACCAGGGAAGGAGTGTGGACATTGCCCTTCCCACCTCTGTCCTGCACGCTGCAAACACTGTTAGTGGGGCTCTCTGCGATACAGGGCAGCAGAAGACAAATTTGTGGAGCTCTACTTTGAACTAGAATAGACTAGACTGTTTCAGTTGGAAGGCACCAACAATGATCATTTTGTCTCACTGCCTGCCTGACCAATTCAGGGCTGACCAGAACTTAAAGCATGTTGTTAAGGACATTGTCCAAATTCTTCTTTTTAAGGCACTGACAGGTTTGGGGCATTGATCACCTCTCTAGGAAGCCTGTTCCAGCATTTGACCACCCTCTCAGTAAAGAAATGCTTCCTAATGTCCATACAATGAAACCTACCCTCCTTGACCAGCTCCTCATTGTCCCAGGAACAGGGAGGCCTGACGGAGGTGTGGTTTTCCGTTGATTCAACAGGAGGCCCAGATTACCTTGCTAAACAAGCAAATAAACCTCAGGATGTTGATTCACCTCCACAGAAATCAGCTGCAGACATTGCCAGTTCTGCTTTCGCTTCTTTAAACATCAAATCCCAAATTCCTTTTACTAAAGATGAAAGAGGCTGGCCTGTTTTGGGAAGGATGTTCAAATCTTCGTGTCCTGATTATTCTCAACATATCCCATTATTTTATAGTAACTCAGCTTCAAAAACAAGGAAGAAGTCACTGACACTTTTTTAAACTCATGTTGGGCCTGTGATCTCTTTCTATTCCCAAATAATTAGTTCTAAAAAACCTGAAATATATCTACAGTTGCCAGGATTTTCCTTCCAGTTTTAAAACAGGGTTGGTGCAGTCACGCTGTCTGACTAACTGGGTACTCTCTTCTTCCTCACTGAGAGCCCTCAGAGAAATATTTCAGGGTTTGCTTTCATCACTTACGCCTCCATGGGGAGGATTTGTGAGGAAGGCGAAGGCAGGGGATAATGATTTAACTTCCCTAAAGATGTTGGAGGAGAGGAAAGCACAATAAACTCCCACTTCCTCAGGAGAAACATCAGTTTATGCAGTCTCTTGTATTATGGCTGGTTTTGTTTATGTGGCTACATCTTCTGGCCTATTTTAGAAGAAATGAAAAAGGCTGACTGCTGCTGATCTAGGATAAGTTTTTAATTCAGGGAAGAAAGAAGAGAGAAAAAAGAATTCAGAGCAGTGTTTGACTCAGTGCCTAAACTCCTGACGCATTTGTAGCATTTGCTAATTGATCCGTCCTCTGATCCACAGTTTCTCTTAACCTTTGAAATAGAGAGTGGCAACATAGTAATTTTATTAGGAACAAGCAAAGACATAACAATTCGTAAGGGCCAATTAATTTTTCCAATTATGAAATATAGGCAAGAAGAGGGCTATATTCAGTGCAATTAGTGGTTAGTCATTCTTTCAGTAAGAGGAAATTATGCATACAGCCTTTAAAACTCTTCTTCTTGAACTACAGAAAAAGTGATCATACTTAAATAAATTTAAGACATAAATGCTAAATGTTTTACTGACTATGGGATGCGAAGCAATACATCTTTAATTAAAAATACTTTAAACCACTTAATAAGCATCCAAATTGCTGACAATCAAGAGGAGTCAGAGCCCTTCAATTAATTTGCCTCTCAGTTTAATCAGTGATGTAAAAGGTAAAATATCTGCTGAATACAGCAGCTAAAACTTAAAGGGATAAAACCAACAAAGTTAAATTAAGCAAAAGTTTTCTTGGGCTACAACCTGTAACTTGATTTGTTTTCCTGATTCAGTAACATAATATTATGGCCTCTATGCATCCCAGAGGACTTACACAAACATGTTAATGTAAGAACGTGCAATAATTCTCTCCTAATAATAATCAACAGCAGCAATGTACCTTGTGAAAATCATGTACTATTGGAGACATTATTTTGTTAATACTTTGATTTGGGTATCAAGAGAAGCAGTTTCTTCTGAGGATCCAGCCAATATTTCTACATCATAAGAGCTTGAACTTACTAAAAGAGAAGATATATCCATACAACAAAATAAAGAAATAAAAAACATCTAGGTTGGTAAATAATAAATGGATAAAAAAATATTAGGAGGTAAAAACGCAGTAGTAGAAAAATGTTATGATTGCAAGTATGTACCTAAAGAATATGCATACTCTTGACTGTAGGTACTAATCTGAAACCATAACTAATATTAAAATTTGTTTTACAAGGAGGGAGTACGTAGGAGATTAAAGCTATAAACATCACATATCAGATACAGGTTTGGAAGTCAATTTGATACAAGAACAGACAAGACATATCTAAAATTACTAGATCAAAATACAATCATAACCCGTATTATGAAAACACCTGCAAAGCCTATTGTTGCAGTTGCTGTACAAAATAAAAGACGAGAATAATCACAGAAAAACAGATGGGCTGTGTTTTGATGAGCAGATGGCATGATTTTCAGTTGTATCAGCTCAGCATGGCTGAAAAACTCCACAAAGGTTGTGCTATCACTTCTGCATATCTTGGTGTGTTTCTGTCCTGTGGCAGGCAATCTTGCAGTATGAAATCCTGCTGGAGACACAGTGCACAGGATCATAGAATGGGTTGGGTTGGAAGAGACCTTTAAAGGTCATCTTCTCCAGTTCCCCCTGCAATGAGCAGGGACACCTTCAACTAGATTGGGTTTCTCAGAGCCCCATCAAGCCTGACCTTGAATGTTTCCAGGGATGGGGCATCTACCACCTCTCTGGGCAACCTGTTCCAGTGTTTCACCATCATCATCATATAAAAAAATTCTGCCTTATATCTAGTCTAAGTCTACCCTCTAGTTTAAAACTATTACCCCTTGTTCTATTGCAACAGGCCTTGTTAAAAAGTCTATCCTCATCTTTCTTGTAAGTACTGAAAGGCCGCAATCAAGTCTCCCCGGAGCCTTCTCTTCTCCAGACTGAACAACCCCCAAGTTCCTCATAGCAGAGGTGCTCCATTCCTCTGATCATTTTTGTGGCCCTCCTCTGGACCTGCTGCAACAGGTCTCTGTCTTTCCTGTGCTGAGAACTCTAGAGCTGGATGCAGTACTCCAGGTGAGGTCTCACCAGAGTGGAGTAGAGTGAGAAAATCACCTCCCTCGACCTGCATGTGGGTGCTGTCCTGAAAAATCCAGTGCAGGTAAATCCCACACAGGGGTTACAGGGGTTAGCTTCATGAGGATAAATTTCCCAGGTTTTGTGCTAACTAAGAGTATAATAAAGACTCAGTAGTTAAATGCATAAATGGCATATTTTTATTTCTTGGAAATAAGGCTTTTTGTGTAACATCAGCTCAGAGAAAACAAACTCAGCAATGGAGAAGCCATCAGTGTATTGCTGCCGTTTTGGTGATGGTTGGGAAAGCAGGAGGCACAGTAAGCAGAAATGCTACCAAATTACAACAATTGAAATGAAAGTAATACTGTATCTCCAATAACCCATGGTAAAATCACTAGTGTTATCTTTATTTATGTATTCATGCACATCTGGCAAGACACTGACCTACTAACATAAGGAGATAATAGTAGGCCTACAGTTTTGACCAAGGAAAAAGACAAGAGTATTTGTCTGCCTGATGAAGGATAACATACTTCAATGAAAGAACAGAAAGGAAGGATTACTCCATTGGATTTCCTGATACTGCTACTGGTGGGGAAGAGAAGCTAAAAAAACTTACTCAGAAATCATTTGTTG